CAGATATTGTTACAGCTCAGTACCGTCACAGTTAAGAAACCCAAATATCCTATCTCAAAATATTAGAATATCGGATTTTTGAGTTTTCTTCAGCTGTACGCCATAATCCGCTATAGCAAAACAATAAAAGGCTTGCGATATTTCAGTTGATTTGTAATGAATCCAGAATGTATGACATTTCACGATTTTAAAATGCATTACAGAAAATAAAGAACTTTATCAACATATTCTAATTTTCTGAGACAGTCCTGTATACCCTCAGCGGGGTCCTGGAGGGTGCATGGGAGTTCGCTCAACCAGTCCACCTGTGTTTTGTGGACTTGGAGAAGGCGTTCGACCGTGTCCCTCGGGGTATCCTGTGGGGGGTGCTCCGGGAGTATGGGGTACCTGGCCCTTTGCTACGGGCTGTTCGGTCCCTGTACGACCGGAGTCAGAGTCTGGTTCGCATTGCCGGTAGTAAGTCGGACCCGTTTCCGGTGGGAGTTGGACTCCGCCAAGGCTGCCCTATGTCTCCGGTCCTGTTCATAACTTTTATGGACAGGATTTCTAGGTGCAGCCGAGGTGTTGAGGGTATCAGTCTTGGTGTGGTTGTAGCGAACGCAGTTACATGGGCATTTTTTCTGTGTGAATTTATTCTATTTTGTGAATATGAATATGTTTTACTTTTAATATCTATTTCGTATATTTGTGTATTTTCGATCAATATGTAAATACTTTGGGAAAATATTGTAACAATGTCATATGGAGACGTCACCGATTGGGTTTCACTTGATCACGTGATGCCTTTGATAGGAAGTTCTGAGTTTGTTTATAATTAGTCTGCATGTTCAAGAGAAAAGGCAAAGGACTAAAAAATGGAAGAAATTGACTTCTAGCAACTCCTAACCTTCTGGTTGGAGGGGCATACGGTATGGACAATTTAGAGAATTTATATTTTGTTTAATAAGTTTCATTTGATAATTCATGTAAGGTAACATGATGGTTTTATTGATGAATATTTTCCACCGCGTATTTTGCAGTGTTCACGGTGGTCTTGGGCGTTTGTATGACGGCAAATCCTTTAATAAACATTTGGAACCATCAGTTGGATATCTGCACTTTCATCAACCAGTTAGAAAAAGTTGGGAGCAGCTATAGTGGTCCTGTTGGCTTCATCAAGTCGGGACCTACAGCTCTCGCTGGAGCGGTTCGCAGCCGAGTGCGAAGCGGCTGGGATGAGGATCAGTGCCTCCAAGTCCGAGACCATGGTCTCTCACCGGAAAAGGGTAGAGTGCCTTCTCTGGGTCGGAGCGGACGTCCTTCCCCAAGTGGAGGAGTTCAAGTATCTCGGGGTCTTGTTTGCGAATGGGGGTAGGGAGCGTGAGATCGATAGGCGGATCGGTGCGGCGTCTGCAGTAATGCGGGCGCTGTACCGGTCTGTCGTGATGAAGAGAGAGCTGAGCTTAACTCATTGGCTGCCAAAGACGTCTATAGACGTCTTTTATGTTTTTCAACGAGAGTGGCTTGGGGGACGATCTGCTAAAGCTTGTCCGTAAATATCAGGCTTCTAGACAGAGTATGTAGTAACAAATTGACCCTCTAGGTGGCAGTGCCACTTTTGATGGGAGATGAGCATAGACTGTAGGCAAATAAGAAAAAGGTAACGGTTCTATGAGAGAACATGTCGCCGGTGAAACGCAAGTCGAGGAAGAACGGAATATGGTACAAACAAATTCTTTTTCCTGATGAAAGAAGAGAGTCTACTCTTTCTTTTGGTGTGTTCGGTGTTTACATAGTCATAGCACAAACTATTCTGTGGCTCTTGAAAAATCAGTCAAAATGCTCAAAAAACTCTAGCAGTCAATGAGTTAAAGGCGAAGCTCTCGAGGCGAAGCTCTCGTCGATCTACGTTCCCACCCTCGTCTATGGTCACGAACTTTGGGTAGTGACCGAAAGAACAAGATTGCGGATACGAGCGGCCGAAATGAGTTTCCTCCACAGGGTGGCTGGGCTCTCCCTTAGAGATAGGGGGAGAAGCTCGGCCATCCGGGAGGGAGGCAGTTGAGGTGGCTCGGGCATCTCATTAGGATGCCTCCTGGTCGCCTCCTGTTGGAATCACTGTACATAGGTTATCATATAAAATGGAGGACGCCTGTAGTCCATCTCTTTTCGTATCTATCATTTTAAACCTTTTATTATCAGAACATTATGTACTCTCAATCAGAACGTTATGAACTTTCATTGTGTGGGAATGAATAACCAATGTGCTTGTGTAAGCAGCTTTGAATAACAAGGTGCAGCGTCTACAGCAAAACGGCAGCTGAGAACAGAACTGTGAGAAGGCCAAAATCCTCGGTTCTCACCCATTGAGGAGCCTGACTGTACCATGACTGAAGGAGCTTGGATATAATGTTGGATATAATGTAATATTCAGCTACGACTGCGTGCAGCCTGTGTGATCTCATCCCTTAGAGGCTGCACGTCCATGTAACGTAGGGAACATTCCTTAAGAAAAAGAGAGGAGGCAGCGGAGTCTGGTCAGAGTATGGTGGAGGTTGTAGAGTCTGGTCAGAGTATGGTGGAGATGGTAGAGTCTGGTCAGAGTATGGTGGAGATGGTAGAGTCTGGTCAGAGTATGGTGGAGATGGTAGAGTCTGGTCAGAGTATGGTGGAGATGGTAGAGTCTGGTCAGAGTATGGTGGAGATTGTAGAGTCTGGTCAGAG